TACAGGCATGATCATGTTTAGCTAACAGTGTGATCAATAATGTACAAAAGTACATGTTTGGCATAACTGTGTATGTAAGTGTATGGGTGTATATACGTATGTAATTGTGTATGAATGTAGCTTGTGTCTTTGAATGTGCCGCAGCATTTTTGACTGTTTGTTGTCGTCAGGAATGTGAGCATAAGCGATTGATGTCTTTGGGTTGGATAGCACTTTCCGGATATCCACGGGCCAGTGACTTTATTTTGTAGCGAGTCACATCCGCCACGTCGCAGTGTTGATAAGCAGACATTTGTGGCTTTTTATAGGGAAAACGCTTGCCAGGCGAAAACCCACCACGTCCTGGAACACTGCCGCCGAACTATTTGCTGGAACGGGTTAAACCCGAACCAGCCGGCTGGCACCACGAGGAGGTTGTTCGGCCAGCCAGCCACAAGAAGGTCTTCGGTTTCCCGTTGAAAGCACGCGACCTCGTATATTTGCATCAGGCACCAATGAACAATGAACAATGATTTATCAGGAATACCAGCGAAGCTGCATGGTGGGTGGGCAGGCCCCTACTTGGTAGACCGAATGATATCTGAGCTGACTTGTGTGATTAGGGACCCAAAGAACGCCACCGGACAGCACATGGTCGTACACTTTAATCGGCTTAAACCTTTCCAGATTGAGCCTGAGCATTCGGAAGCAGAGCACCACAATGAGCCACTGACAGGACTAGCCACCGAAGTTGAAATACCAGCTCAAGAGGGTTTTGGCGTTGCACCGGGGATGTTGCCTATATAGAAGGGGTGCGGTGTAAAGAGTGATCGAAACTAGTTTGGAGCGTGATTGAATTTAAATCGTTGCTCTGACGACACCTTTTCTGCCTGCCTTTCAGAAAGACACTCCTGCGCCATTATTGAAGAAGGACAAAAACCTGAAGCGAACAGTTGACCGTAACTTTTCTTTCATCCCTTCAAATGTTACTGATTCTTTCTTATAGAGCCTACGTGTTGCGTAATAGAACTTACGTCTCAATTCTTGTGGTTCTCACTTGTCTGCATTCTACACTGTTGCTGTACAGCGTGCAAGGAAAGAAAGGTATGAAATTAGGTGTGCAGGCTTGGTGGCGATTTATTAATTGTATAGTGATTTAGGGGAACGCGGAAAAATGATACCTTTTTGTACGATACACGGAAGAGTGTATAATTTGTTTCATTAGATCCTTGGATTGCAGAGACAAAAAGGAATGCTCTATGTCAGCTCCTTCACTTCCCGATCATTGTGTGGATGCCGTGAGTCGCTACGACATGGCATTCCACAAGGGACCGTAACAGCTACATTGGAAGAAGCAGGGTCCCAGCTTACTCATCAAGTGAGAATCCAAAAATCGTTTGAAACATTCCTCAGTCTGCGCGTCGACCACATGTTTCGGTAAGTCGTTCCAGTCATTGACAATGCAGGTTGATAGAGCGAGAGTGGAGCGAATTCTGAGTCTTCTGGGTTTATATAGTTTCCAGTTGTGCCCCCGTGTTGAACTATTAGTGTTGACTTTAAACAACGCTTGTAGCTCCATCCCCATTTCCCCCATCAGAATTCGCGTAGTAAAAATCAGATCACCTCTACGTCAGCCATATTCCAGGGAGAACAAGTGCATCCGCTGTAATCGAAGAGGGTAAGGCAAGTCCCTTAACTCCAGTATGGATTTCGAGGCACGCCGCTGTACCTTCTCAATCATGTTACACTCGAACCTGGTAAGAGGACAGATGGCGGGTAGTCCGTATTCAAGGATCGGGCGCACATGAGAAGTAAACAGGATTCTGAAGATATCCGGAGTCAGTCGCGAGAAGGCTCTCCGTATGGCATGGGACATCCTGTTGGCAGCGGCAACCCTCCGTAGTGTGTCTTCTGCGGTCCGTAAATCATGTGAGACAAGCACACCGAGATCTTTTTCAAGAATGGTGGTTCTGAGTAACACCCCACCAATATGGTATATCCCGAACGGTTCGAGGGCGCCTATGGGGAGAACTGAGCATTTTTCACAATTTATGGGCAATTGCCAGTTGACTGACCAGTCGTGTAGAATGTCCAATGATGCCTGCAATCTGTCAGCATCCTCAAGACAGGATACCTCCATCCACAGCTTCATGTCATCGGCGTAAATCAGGCAATCCATCTGAAGCTCCGATGGGAGGTCATTGATGAATATCTTGAACAGTTCTGGACCAAGTACTGACCCTTGCGGAACACCGCTAGTCATCAGCACAGGAGTGGAGTAGGCTTCATTCACCTTGACTCGCATGGTCCGGCCAATCAAAAAATCAGCGATCCAAGAAAGGACATTCCCAGAGACACCGGTACCTCGGAGTTTAAGAAGGAGCCTTTCATGGGGACCTTGTCAAACGCCTTGCTGAAGTCTACAAAAACCACATCCAATCGTTTCCCAGCGTCTAACGACCTCGCCCAGTTTTCCCTAGCAACAAGCAGGTTCGAGGTACATGAGCGTGCCCGCCGAAAGCCATGCTGGGCACAGGAGATGATGTTAAGTTCTCGAAGTGAAGCTGCATGGCGCGCTTGAGAATCCTTTCCATTAACTTGCACAGTACGGATGTTAGGCAGATAGGTCGATAGTTAGCAGGATCTTGACGATCCCCTCCCTTGTATATAGGGATAGCGGTCTCCAATTTCCAAGCAATTGGGAGTCGTCTAGTTTCAACGGAGTGACGAAATAGCTGACAGACGGGAGTAGCAATGTAGTCCGCCACGGTCTTGAGGAACAGCGGGTGCAGTCCATCAGGACCCGGCGAGGAGTTCGGATCTAATTCACGAAGGCCTTTGGCCACGTCAGCCACACTCATTTCTATGTGCTGCAACGAAGAGGGGTGGATTGGCGCGGTGTCATCGGGTAACGGCGTCTCGATCGAGTAAACAGATGAATATTGCAGGGCCAGTAAACTGGCTTTCGTCGCATCGTCGTCAAGTAAACCGCCCTGCTCTGCAGAAAACAGGGCAGGAATGCCACTGCCAGCTTTGGTACTTCTTTTCAAGTAAGAGTAGAGTGCCTTCGGTGTCGTCCTGGATTGCACAGCCAAACTGCGTTCATACTGATGCCGTTTCTGACGTTTTTTCAAGATGCAGTCGTTTCTGATCAATTTGTACTCCGAATAGTCAAGCGCGCAGTGAGTAAGCTTGAATCGGTCCCATAATTTACGTCTTTTGGACATTAAGCACCTCAATTCTCGGTCTATCCATGGAGGGCCTCTGGTAAACGTTCGCCTTTTGCAAATAGGAACAACCTGCTCAACAAGGGAAATCAGCTTGGAGTACAAAAGGTTCCACTCCTCATCTGGGTCCGAGGATAGAGGGATATTCCAGTCCACACCGCTAGCGGCCGCTTGCAGGCGGATTGGATCGGCACGCCAGAAATTCCTGCGGAAACTATCTTGGTTGTGAAGAGTGAGGCGTCGAGTCCAGAGGAATGAAACCATACAGTGATCACTATTACCAATAGGCGGAAGAGTGGTAATGTCTGCGACATCTGATTGCGCCGGGGAAAGCACAAGATCGAGAATATGGGGGGTTTGTCCGACACATATACGGGTAGGCACAGTAACATGTTGAAATAGGTTACACTCGAGAACGGTTTCCAAAAAGTCCGCAGCGAAAACGTCTGAAGAAGTAGCACAATGCAGCAAATCCCAGTCGACACTTGGGGTATTGAAGTCTCCCAATAGTACACAGTCCTTTCCCCACCATGCATTTTAATGGAATCCAGCAGCCGAGCTCCGGAACCCAATGGAGCTCTGTAGACAACCCCGACTATCAGGGATCTGCATCCATCATGAACCCGGCACCACAGGGCTTCGAAACCACCGTTACCATCACAAATAGCTCCAACTAAATGAGCCTTGAGGTCTGCACTCCAGTACAGTATCACACCGCCACCAGTTCTCCATCCTTTGCGGTCAGCCAAACTGAGGTGATACCAAGGGATCTGCACCTCGAGTCCAGGATATCCGCGGACAAACAGGTCTAGGTGAAAGCCTTTATGTCAGGATGATTCGCTGAGGCAAAATTGAATTTCATCGAGTTTGTTTCGAATACTGCGCACATTAGCGGAAATTACGCGCAATCCGTTCTTCACCTCTAACGCCTAGGTATGACGAGAAGTGGTTTCAAGCGAATTTTGGTATCTTTCGGACTAAGCGAAAATCCACAAGATGTAAATCTAGTCTCACCGTTGTCTCGGCAGGATCTGAGTTCGTCAACCTGCGGCTTAGTTCTCTCATCGATCTCAGGGGTAAGATATCTCAATACATAAACATGATTTACCTTTAACGTCGCAGGGAGCTCGTCGAAGAACTGCGACGAGACCTCGTCATCATGTGAACACACAATTTTGACAAGGTGGAAATCTTAATTTGTGGGGAGTCATCTGTATCTTGCCGAGGCGGCATACTGCTGAAACAATCTTATTGATATCCTTGTTCTCTCTCATTGAACAGTATAAAGAGATCTCCGTGTAGGGAACTTCCTGATCAGTTACATTTCTTTGCAGCTGGGGTGGCCCTCGGTGGAATCGGCTGATCTACTTGCTGTCGGCTGGATAGGGTTCTGGTGTTGCTTGTGGATTTTCTGCTTGGGGGGGTTTGTGTCGTGGCTGGTTCTTTTTTTTTGTTTTTGTTTGCTGTGGTTATATTTTCATCTGCTCTTTGGATTGGACAGTTGTTTGCCTTGCTTTTTTCTCTGTTTGTGTGCTGGCGGCAATTTATGCATTTGGGGTGCATGGTCTGTTTTTGAGTTGCGTCGGTGCTGTTCGTTGCAGGTTGTTATTTTGGGCGTATGCGTGGTCGCACACGGGGGTCCTGGTGGGTGACTGGGGGAAGGCGGGGGGCGAGGTGGAGATGGGGGGGGATGGCTAGGCGGAGGGGGGGAGGGGGGGGGGAAGGAGGAGGAGGTGTGTGCAATGGGTGGCGGGGGGGGGCTGCGGGGGAATGGGTGTGTGTGAGGGCTGAGGTATGAAATCGGGGCTTGTGGCTGAGTGGGGTGGGGGGGGGGTGGGTGGGGGGCTTCGTGGGGCATGGAGTGGATGGGGGGGGGGTGTATGTGGTGTCGGGGATAAGTGGTGCATAGTTAGTCACTGGGCGGATGGGTGGGGCTGATCGGGTTGGGGTGTGGGTCGCTGGTAGTTCATGGTGGCACGTTTGTGATTTTTTTTTTTTTTTGTGTTTTTTGTGCAGTGTTTTGCCTTGTTTTTGCATTTGCTGCTATGGGTGTTGTGGTTGTGTGCATGTGTTGCTATGGTTTTGTTCTTTTTTGCGGGTTTCGTGGCTTTTGTTTATTTGGGTGTGTTCTGCGGATTTTTAGGAGTGGGTGTGTGAATGGTGTATGCTTTGTTTGCTGTAATTTGTGATTTTCTGCTGTCTTTTTTTCTCTTATCTTGTGTTTCTCTTCTCTTGTTGTTATGTATTTAGGTGGCTCTTTTATTTTGTGCTGTAGCATAGTTGTTGTGCGTTTTATGTATGCATGTTTGTTGTGTCTTTCTTTGTCATGCTGGGTGCATGGCACTTGGCATGTTGCATTGCTCTTTGTCTCTTTTGGTCTGTATTTCTGCGTTTTGTTTTTTTTTTTCTTTGCTGCTGCATTTCCTTTTTTTTTTGCGTCTAGTGTTTTGCGTCTTAGTTGTGCTTTTTCATTTTTTTGCGTGTTTTTATTTTTCTGCTTGGTTGTGTATCTGAGGATTTGTGCAATTTTACTTCCTGCTTGTGTTAGGCACTTTTCTCTTTTGCCTTTTGCCTTTGTCATTGTTGCTAGTGTCTTTTTGTGTTTGCTTTTTTCACGATGATAAGGCAGCGACCGCGAGATGGCGATGTGGCACTCTCATGGAACTTCGGCTTCAGAAGAGCTAGGCCGTCATTTATCAGTTTCTCCAGTTGACAGACTCTATCGAGAACCAAATTCAGCAGCGATTGTTATGATGACGGCTTGGATTTTAGACTAACCCCTGTCTTGCTTTTGCGTTCAACGTTTCGTAAGTTTTAGTTTACCACATATGTGTACGTCTTGATCTTAGGCTCTTCGCTCTGGTCACCAACCACCGGCGTCCCTGTAGGTTTGGTGGACGGTGCTCAACAACGCTTACCCCTTTGCAGGTGTTGTTTCGGTTTCGCTGCTATGGCTACGTTGTCTATGGATGTACTGCTGCATTCTTTGTTAGTTTGCGCCGTTGCTTCGGATCTGCCAATTGCGATCAATTATCGTTTTTATTGTGATTGTGGTCATCATCTTCAGCATACGCGTTAGCTAGAGGCGGGAAACACCTCAGCTACGGGGCCGCAATACATAGAAAAAAGGAGAAAAAAGCTACTGGTGTACGCCGGCTGAGCTACCGGTAACGGATGTGTATCTTTCCGGTAAGCTACCAGTCGGCTACTGTGCATCGAAAAATTACTATGCAATATAATATAAGGCTAAATAACTAGATGGTGGTTGGAGGCTAGGCTAAGAGGGATGAAGTTGGTCAAAGAAACTCATAGTACGAACGCCACTGAGGTCGGCTCCTTGCATTGTTAGCAAGTGTGTCCAACCAAACCTGTTCATCGTCTTTCGGACCCCAACCAGGGAGCTGAGACGCTCCAACAGAGGCCAGCTTAGAAGTGAGGGCCTTCGTTCCTCTCGACGAAGTCATCGCTTGGCTACCTCTCCTCTTCTTCCATCCGCACCCGCGCATATCGCGGGAGTCTGTGGGCTGGCGTGCATAACACGTGGCCGAGCCATCGGAGCCTGGCGCGTGAAATAACGGTGCTGAGCGGTTCAGATCCTTTTCCTGTGCCGTAAACAAGGCGTCGAACCCGCTCGTTGCTAACACGGAGTTCCCACCAGATGCGAGCTAAATTACGAAGGCACCGGTGGTCGAACGTAACTAGCCTCTTTAGGTCCGCTGCTTAACGCGACCAGGTTTCACAACAGTACAGTAGGGTCGAACGTACCGCTGCATTGTACACTCTACCCTTCAGGGCAAGAGTGATGTCGCGCCGATGGCGTAAGTGGCGATGGTTAGCAAAAGCGCTTCGAGCTGTCGCTATACGGTTCGTGATCTCATCCTCAATCCCACGGGCGCTGATACAGCTTCCCAGGTAGTCGAATTTTTGAAAGACTTCTAGCTGATTCCCACCAATGGTTAGCGTGGGAGGCGGTCCAGACCAATCTTGGAGAAACGCTTTGCCCTTCAAGGGTGCGAAGCAAAGCCCGAAGTGACGGACAGCCAGTGCTAATCTGTCCAGTGCCGCTTGACACGTTTGTG